TTCTTGCCATTCATCACAGAAAGAAGTTCTTGGTATCATTGGAAAGGTCTTATCAAGCCCTTTCTTCTGGTGCTATTAAAATTGCAAAAAATGCCTTATGTGTCGTCACATAATGACGGATCTCTACAACTCACCTCCCCTCCATTAATTGACACCCATTATAAAGAAAAGGACTTACTGTACCAAAACAGCCACCAAAAATCACTATATTTCTCACACATATATCTGGTCATAAACACTTTCACCTGACAAAAAATCAAAACCTAAATGCTAGGAATATGGACTTTATACTACGTTAAGCGTTTTCCCCTCCATTGACGCCCATAAGGAAAAGGCTTAATGTAACTTAATGTACTAAAACAGCCACCAAAAATCACTATATTTCTCACACATATATCTGGTTATAAACACTTTCACCTGACAAAATATCTAAACCGAAATACAAGGAATATGGACTTTATACTATGTTAAGCGTTTTCCCCTACATTGATTGACGCCTGTTCTGTCTTCTATGCGTGCGGTGCATTCACTGACAGACAGCTAAACGCTTTACTCCACTCAAAACTCTGGATATAGTTCGCCAGGTTTATTTGTTGAAGCAAAGGTGAAACTAAAAAGAAAACAGGCAAAATAAACATAAATACTGAATCGCATCCATATTAGTCAACAAAAAAGTATGGCTAGCGAAAACCACATGCTAAGAAGGAAAAAGGAAAATGAAACTAGCTTCTTGCAAGCAATCAATATGCATACTAAACTTAAAAAATAAACACGTGAAAGCAAGAGTACATGCGCATTTCCTCAGTACATACCGACGATGCAACCTCAAACAAGATGTGATCCGTGACTACGTTGTTCACTTCCTGGATAAAGCTTTCGTTTCAAAACTAACATAACTACTATCTGCCAAACTAAAAAGAGTCAGTAGATGGCGCACTTTGTAATATTTCTTTCCATGAAAATTATAATGAAATAAATTAAATTAAATACATAAAAAAAATTTTTACTCAAACACAACAACTTGTAAAACCAAAACAAAACAACCCATTATAAGGAAAAGGCTTAATGTAACTTGAAGTACTAAAACAGCCACCTAAAATCACTATATTTCTTAATACCTTCTTCTTAATCCTTAATGCCTTAATGACTTTCGGCCTATTGCACTAACCTCCATTACAATGAAGTGCTTTGAAAGGCTGTAATGGGGCACATATTGAGCTCCATTCCAACTGGTCTGGACCCCCTTCAATTTGCATATCGTCACAATAGATCCACTGATGACGCCATTTCACACACCATCCACAACACCCTGGCTCACCTGGACAACAAGAACTGCTATGCCAGACTGTTGTTTGTGGATTTCAGCTCTGCATTCAACACAGTTATCCCCTCCAAACTGATCCAGAAGCTGCGGGCACTGGGACTCAGTGCTACTGGGTTCTGGACTTCCTCACCAACAGACCACAGCATGTGAGGATCGGCAAAAACACCTCCACCACAATGATCCTCAACACTGGCACGCCATAGGGAAGCGTTTTGAGCCCAATGCTGTACTCCCTGTTTACACACAACTGTGTGTCCAGGCACAGCTCCAACACAATCATCAAGTTTGCTGATGATACCACCGTTGTGGGCCTGATCAGCAACAACGACGAGACGGTCTACAGAGAGGAGGTGAGACTCTTGGCAGAGTGGTGTCAGGAGAACAACCTCTCTCTCAACGTCAGCAAAACCAAGGAGATGGTTTTGGATTTTAGGAGGCAGGATGCTGCTCATCCCCCTATCTACATCGGAGGAGGTGCTGTGGAAAGGGTCAGCAGCTTCAGGCTCCTTGGGGTCACCCTCAGTGCCAACCTCAAGTCCTCAGAACATACAGCAGCGGTTACCAAAAAAGCCCACCAACAACTTCACTTCCTCAGACGCCTAAAAAAAGCTGGTGTTTCCACCTCTGTCCTCACCAGCTTCTACAGGTGCGCTGTGGAGTCCATCCTCACAGGGAGTGTTGCGTCTTGGTATGGCAGCTGCACTGCTCAGGACAAGAAAGCTCTGCAGAGGGTGGTGAAAACAGCTCAGAGGATCACAGGCACACCACTCCCTGCAATAACGGACATTTATAACACGCGCTGTCTCTGGAAAACTAGG